GAAGCGAGTAAATATATCGGTGGCAACGTGGAAATATATAACGGCGAATCGGGTACCGACGCGATAACAACAGACCCTCACCCTTTTCCTATCTTGGCTAGTAAAAGGAATCACTGTGACATAAATACTGCATTATGGAAACGCACAACAGCAGCATGGGCTTTCCAGTGAATAACCCACTGCCGCATTTTTCGTTTCAAAATCACTGAGCTATCGGGTTAAATAAATAGAAGCATTGATCTGTGCAAATATTTAATGTAAGCAACATGCATTTCAGAATATTAAAAATAAGGAAAACAATAACTTATAATAAATAATCCCCTTGGAAGTGTGCTTCCTTTCCGCAGCTAACCTGATTGCTACTTGCATAATTGTTTTCCTCTACTTTTTTTTTTATTTTAATCAGTTATCGCACAAATAAAATACCTCGATTTAATTTGTATTAAAATTGGCTTAGATTTCTATTTTAGTCAAGGTCACTCAACAAGTTAGCTTTCTGTCATTAAGATCTTCTTTTTTGCACAGACGGATATTCAATGCTGGTCAATTGGTTGGTTGCACATGAAAATGAAGCGGAAACCAAATTGCTGCTGGTCGATGGCTGCCTCTAAGCTCAGCAGGTGACACACTTATACCACTGTTATATAAATGTGCATATGTATGTATGCACAAATGTATTTGGATATTTATGAGAGGAGGGCAGATGTGATTGGAACCAGAAATGCATTGCCAAAACAGATTCAAGTTTGTATGTATGTATATCGACTTGTATATACATTAGGGTGGTGCAAAAGAAGTTAAGTAGGAATTTAATGCTCTCACCCTTAGCATTGTTCTATACTGAAAAAATATACCCCCGTTCTTTTTATTATGAAATGAAAAATAAATTTGAAGGGGTCGCTCAAAAGCGCTCAAAAAAATAATAATTTTATAAATTTGCTTTTGTGATTACTTGGTATGAGGATTACCGAAGATTAAGTCTCGTAAATAAATTGAAAGCGTGGTGTTTTCACAATTGCTCACCGGAAATTGAAAATCCGGCCATCATCCTTTATTTACAGAGTTGCATATTACCCATCTTCTAATTCTAAAAGCTTATACTATGTGTACACCATATTTATAATATTACATACTTATACTATGTTTACACTGTTTTCATTATATCAACAGAGTAGAATTATCTTAAGGCTATTTACAGAGTACAAAGATGTATGACAGCTTATAATTAGTTTACAATTTGAAAAAAAAATAATAATTTTTGGTGGAAATAGTATTGAACCCTTGAAAATTAACATTTTTCGATCGGATTGCTATTTAACCATTTTTCAATAGTAATTATTTTTTATAGGTACCCCCAGAAACCCCAAAAAAGCAATGAGGGAGCCACTATTATTAAAAAAATGGTAAAAAACCATTGAATATTATTGGTGGAGGTCTCCTGAAGAGAAATGTAGTTTTCCGATCGAAAAATATTGCTTTTCAAAAATTCAATACCATTTATTTTTTTCCCCTTTCAAAAGACACGGAAATCTTTGAGCGACCTCTAAATATTTTTTGAGTTCAAAACAAAAAAAAAGCAGGGGTATTTTTTCGGTATATAACAATTCTAGGGTGAGAGCATTAAATTTCCAACTTTACTTATTTCACATGCATTTTTTTGGACCACCCTAATATACATATGGGTATGCAAATACAAGTCTATTCCGAAATACGCAGTTGAACAGATACAATTTTTTCGATAGTATCTGGCAGACAAATTCTACGATTTTGCAAGCACTCGCATCTCGAATTAAAATCATATGTTTTGATTTTGAAATTCAGCTCCTCTGTTTTACAATTTTTTTTTTTTTTTTTAATTAAAAGTATGTTTTACGTTGTTGGCAATATTTGAGTAGATCAGTCGCTATTTCCTTGTATATGGAAGTGTACTATGTATTACTATAATTATTTACATATGTTTTAATTTTAGGGAATAACGAAAATTTAATAACACAAATTCTATTACATTTAACTCAAAAAACACGTTTTAAATTTTAATAAATATTATTTCTTGTGTCTTATTCATATACAACAACTTTTTATTTTTTCGTTTCACCATCACGAGCGTTATGAAAAAAATTTTTAGTAAATGTTTAAAGTTAAGTATGCAAAAATCGAAAAATTCGTTGGCTGCAATGCAAACGTGTTTGATATTTTTTTTGGGAAGCTAATTTATCCACCAAAAATATTTGAATCGAAATTTCTCTATAAAATTAATTTAATAAGGAAGCCACTAAAGTTAATAAATTTATTATTAACAATTTTAACCAGAGCATGCCAGAGTGGGCTCTTCACGAAAAATATCAAAAATATATTTTTTGAAACCAAATGTTGGTAAAAGATTTTTTATTTCCATATATTATATATAGTAGAAAACTACAAGAATATAAAATTTGGAACAAAATTAAATAACAACAAATTTTAAAGCAAATAAAAAAACCGACTTCGATTTCCATATAAGAATTTAAGATTATCGGATCTAAACCAAATTAGTATGGGACCACCTTGCCGATAGAAAAATGATCGAAATCGAAACTATCCGACGAATTGACAATCTTCTCCTTTTTTGAAGTCAGTTAAGAAGCGTTTTACGGTATTCCAAAACAATGTATTTTTTTTTATAAATTTCTATAAATGCCAAATTAAAGGGAATGAATAAAAAATGTGTGTATGTAAAAATGTTTTTTTTTTTTTGTTGTCGAAAGAGAAAATAAAAACCGCATTGAACCGCAGTGAAAGTATGAAAGGGTGGCAGATACCTCAAATAAGAGTACTGCCAATAAACCTCCACAAGCCTCGGCTGCTTTTCTATGTACATACATGTGTCGTCTGTCCAATGGCGATGTTGAGGTGACACTAATCCAAGAACCTCGAGTCTGTGGATTGCGTGCCACGGCTTTTAAGCTGATCGCAGAGCATGGTAAAGGTAAAACTAGGGCCTGAATTTTGGCAAAAGAGGATTTTAATATCTCTATTTTACAGTTACAGTGATAATGACGTCGCGCCAACCCTTTGAGAGCTACAGAGCACATCCATCGTAGTAGTTTCGCCATACATACGTGTCAAACGATACGTAGGGCGCTCCTCTTTCAACGCTGGGGAGCTGGGTGACCAAGTACGAAAATAGTCACGTTTTGATTCGAAGCGATTCGAATGCTGATCACGTCCCGTGCGGGAGCGCAGACATAAATGATCAGGATGAGTCACTTTTCAACTACGTCTTAAAAACCAGCCCAGTTACATATATGCAATGAAGGTAGGGAATCTCTGCATGGAAAAATACCCCTTCTTAACCTTCTTGCAATACCGTGAACATACCCGCCTCGTAGGAAAGGTTAAATAGGTAATCCAAAGCTTCAAACCATATAAAACTGCACGATCGGACGGAAGGTGTCTGCGAAATAACTTTTAAGTACTTTCAAGGCCTGTATTAAGCCTAGTCACATTTTAACCTCCAGGATCTTAGGTCCATCAGAATTTACTCCTTTGCTATTAACACAGTTGAAAGAATTGTTAGCAGCTTCCATTTGGACACCATCATCAGTCGTCTATCGAAAAGGTAAGTGTACGGAGGCCGCAATTTATAGCTTTATTGCATTTTAAAAAGTTTATGCATTCCTAGCAAAGCTTGGTCAACCTGGTATTTAGTACTTAAGTACCGGAAAAAATTTAAGTGGGAGAGCATAATTAAGCAACATCTATATTCAAAATTTAAATAGCTTTATCCAAAACGCTAAACAATCAAAGTATAAATGCATGACAGCCAAAATAATGCCTCAAAAATTTGCCGCACTGCTACTCGTATCCGAGCCTACTATCAAGCAATTGCAGCAAGCGAAGCGTAGCACAAGCAAAATAAAAAAAGATCGCTGGCGCTCCGAACAAGCTAGCAAGCGTGTAAGTATATGTAGGTAGGCGCATGTAATGGGTATGCTAAAACAACAACAACAAAAAAAAGAAGTACATTTTGAATATCTCAACAATCGCCAAAGCAAACAAAAGCAAAATCTGAGAATAACAAACAGAGGAGTACGCGTCCAAGCAACCTAACTGACTGGTAGACAAAAATCAATAACCCAATGGCTAATTAATAAACTGGCCGATGGTAAAACAAAAGGTGGCTAAAACAAACCTGCTTGTGTGCCCGATAGCAGGTGCAACCGCCCTATAAACAAGGAGGAGGGATTTATTGCTGAACTGGTTGCGCGCCTTTGGTTCAGCACCTGGAATTTCGACGCGGCGTTCAAGCGTAACAAATCAAAGATTTCAGCATACAAGTGAAGCGATTTAAGTAGATCATAATTGGATAGTTATTTAGATAGTTTGAAAAGTAAGAGGTGAGAGAGCCAGAAAAAATACTACATTTTTTTAATTTCAAAAATTTCGTTTGTGCTTTTGCTTTTCTCGTGGCCAATTTTTTTTGTTTCGGCTGCAGCTACTGCTGGAACAATCACCGCAGCTTAAATACGCTGAATGCGGCATTGCCAACAGCAAATATCTGAATGCACATTGCTAACAGCAACAACAACAATGGGTATGCTAAAAGCGGTCATAAAATTCAATAGCCACAATTTTAACTCAAACCACTCAGATTGTGTCCAAAAGGCAGTGCAATAAAAATGGTAAAACAAAAAATAAATAAAAAAGACGCAGCATTGTTTTTGTGAGTGCGATACGCGCCTTAGACACACGCACACATGCACGCATGCGCTCATCAATATTCATATACCTACGTACATATGTACGAATCTGGCGCGTAGCTGCTGCAAAACGCTTGTGCTTGTTATTATTCTTTTTTTTTTTATTGATTTTTTGCAATGACTCGTAAACAAACCAGTTGTTTTTTTCATTACGTTTACGCCACCGCTGGCGCTGCGCCACTGCCCCACTGCTGACTGCTTTGAAAATCCATTCATATTAGCCGGTAAGTAGCGGTTGTGGTTCAGTCTCCAAACGGATGTTGCTCGGTGCACAGCTTTTGCCTGCAAAAAAGCCAAGTAATAGTGGAAGTTGGCAAAAAATTTGTCAAAAAAAAAAAAGAGTTATCGCAAAAAAAAAAATTTGTGGATTTCCAAGCACTTAGCGTGCGCAAAAAAAAAAACAAAAGTTAAACAAATTTGCGGCTCGGCAAATTTTTTCGCACTCTAAGAACGATTTTGTGGAGCTCATCACAGCGCCTATAGCAGCAGCCATCTGTCAAGCAAACGCAGTGTTTAGCAAACGTGTATGTACAACCATAATTAAACAATGTACTTAACCGTTAACAAGTGTTTAAAATTACTACAAAATTATTCATTAGTTTACATATTCATTGGCAAATGTTTGTGTGTTGACTTTGCTGCGCATACAGATACCCAAGTGTTGCTTCATTTTAAATGTGCATATGCTGACCAGGCCATGTCTAAAATGCCCAATGGTTGTTGCGCTAAAATAAAGTATTTACCCCCCAAGAAAAAGCAGTTGAACTAAAAACCACCGAAATTGTGTTTCAGCACCAAAACAAAACTAAAATTTACAATTACATAAGTAGTGTATGCATGCGAGTGTATCAACAAAAAGCGCAAATAATAAATTGCTTATGTATGAAGAAAAAGACTCGTTTACATCTTTAACTCATTCATCTTATTTACTTGTACGATATATATTGTCGAAAATATTTAGGTTTCGCACCAGCGTCAATGCAAAACATAAAGCCAGTTATGCTCACATTTTTTAAACACTTCATTGACGTTGACACGTTGCTCGCATGGAGCGCAGAAATTTATGTGCGTACAGACAATTAACGCACAATTGAAACACGCGCGCTCACGCCCTGAAATGGCACGGCGCTTAAATCGGGTTCGCAGCCTAAGTCTTTTGTTTGCGCATAGGCGGAACAAGCTTCATTGCTTTGAACCGCACTTTTGCTAAAGTAAAATATACATACTATATTATCGAAGCATTAATAACACATATTGAACTGTATTACTTTTTTACTTTGTGGAAAATTCTCCTCTTAACTGTTCTTATCTTAATCTATGTAGTTGGAGCTAGTTACACATACGCATTAAAAAAATTCAAATTCCGTTCGCATACGATAAAAATCTTCTAATATACACTACACTACAACTAAACATATGTATGTCATTTCTTATCTGAACTTTGTTCATACTTGACTTATTATCTTAGACGAGCGTATTAACTTGCACTATAAATATGGATACATTGTAGGAAATTATATATGCAACTTTTTGCTGGATTAGCGTAAATTGATATGTTTATTGCATTCAATTGTCAATTCGAGACTGACATGTTTTGAGCACATAAATTTTAATTCCTATAATAACGCATTTCAGCTATAATGACGGATTAATAGTAGCTTAAACGAATTTTAATGCGTGTAAAAGCATAGTGAGTGAAGGATTAGATAATTCTAGATTAGTGCCGGGCATTTTTTGTTTTCAAATAACCCTGTACCATTAAAAGTGTTCTAACATCAAAAAATTAAGTCTTGTTGCATATCAAGAGGGGAAACTATTTAATTTTAAACTATGTTCACATTACAGCATTACTTTGTTTGATCATATTACTTCACATAAATCAATTACGTTCAGACTTTCTTTCATAATTTCTGTAGACTTTTTGTTAGCATGTGTAGGTACGAATGTGTAAATTGTACTGCAACAGGGGCGAAAGCCGAAATTTTTTTTGGGGCGGTAGGCCATCTTTTAAAAAATGTATTTATTCCGCATAATCAGTTCCACCAAATACGCTTATATTTATTTTTTTTTATAAATTCGAGGCAAAACTCAAAAATCCAAAAACTCACTTTTTGTTTTGGTGATTCACGGACATCAGAAAACACTTTTTCTCCCAAATATGTAGGTAAATTAATTTTGTCTCAAAATATGGATCAGTAACACCGCGTTCACGTTGAAACTCTAAATGATATTGAACATGAAAAATGTGGAAATAAACAATTCGAGTCCAATTATTTTCACCCTTTCTAAAGCTTCAAAAACCTTTAAATTCAAATCAAAGATATGCATGTAGTATATACATACATATGTAGCACTTTTAGGGATTATGTTAGTTCCAAGGCGAATTCATAATAGGGAGTGTTATCAGAGCATCTGAGATTTTCGCAGCGGTGTTCTGAACGTCAAAATTATGTGTTTGTTTTAGCTATAATTCTACGAGAATTGACTGTATTCAGAACAGTCGGCATACGTATTTCAAAAATATAAAATGAAAATATCCAGCTAAATATTTAATACGATTTTTTTTAAGATTTTTCTCTTGTTATCGGCTTTATGTAGCACTTTTTTTTATCTTTCAGATATTTTTCGTAAAATAAAGGACACTAATTACGTTCTGGCATTTAATGCAGAGAGAAATAAAAATGCCATTTAATAATTCAATAGTAACGGGTGATTTTTTTGAGGTTAGGATTTTCATGCATTAGTATTTGACAGATCACGTGGGATTTCAGACATGGTGTCAAAGAGAAAGATGCTCAGTATGCTTTGACATTTCATCATGAATAGACTTACTAACGAGCAACGCTTGCAAATCATTGAATTTTATTACCAAAATCAGTGTTCGGTTCGAAATGTGTTTCGCGATCCCAATTGCTGCGAACGGCGACGAATCGACATTTCACGGTCTTCAGCAACACTCTCAGAAACAGACGCAATATTCTCTTCTGTACGCACTGTACGCATTCGTGTGGTTGGTTTAATGTCCAATAAAGTAAACTGAGTGCGAAACTTGGTCACAATCGCATTAATTGTTTGCTCACTTGGTCGATTATGTAGACCATAAATCGGACGTAAAGCGAACCGAACACTGATTTTGGTAATAAAATTCAATGATTTGCAAGCGTTGCTCGTTAGTAAGTCTATTCATGATGAAATGTCAAAGCATACTGAGCATCTTTCTCTTTGACACCATGTCTGAAATCCCACGTGATCTGTCAAATACTAATGCATGAAAATCCTAACCTCAAAAAAATCACCCGTTATAATATGAGAACCATACTGGCGAGAAATTTTATTCGACACAGTCTTTATATCACCAAATTTCCTAGATACTTATTATGACTTTGGATCAGTATTTTATCATGTCTTTAAATTGCAAACGAATTACACTATGACCGAATTTTTAACGAACTATTGTCCAACTATATGTAGTTTCTATGCGTGGTAGTCAAACTCCAAAAGTATTTTATTCTTTGAAAAGATATTTTCTGTTGTATACACACAACACGTATGTAAATTCGTATACCTAGTATGTACTCCTACATAAATACTAAATATGTAATAATATAAAGAGTTGGAAGTCGGCCTTTGTTTGGTTGGATTAGACAATATTTGAGTTTGATTTAGAAATCTCAGAAATATAATAACACACTTAAAAATCTAATACATAACTAGAAAAATGAATTAAACAAAGAATAAGCAAAAGCGTTAAGGAAAAACAGCAAAATGCTTTTATAAAAAAAAAAATATTTAATGGCAAATGCCATTGAGGCAGAAAACAAATAGAGGTAGACAACAGAAAAAAACACAATTTACAGATATACAGTAAGGGAATCTCACATACCTAAATAACTAAATCATTTACAGACATATACAAAAATACATATATATTTATGTGTAATGCGAGGGCATCTAATTGATCTTAGAGTCAGTTAAGCAAAATTCCTATGTAAGCAATTAAACTTAAGCGCTTCCACTGCTTTGTAAATAATATACTTTGGTAGTTTGGTTAGTTAGTTGGTCTGGTCATGTGCATGAATAAAATTAACTTGACGCTTGACCTGCCAAACATCATTCATTTCCATTTTATTTACTCAATACTCGTCTCGTCATACATACGTACATATGTATGTATGTATAAAGAAGAATCCAACAAAATAAAAAAAGACAAGGTCATGTCATGAACTTGTACCGCATAGTTGCAACACACAATCTGCGCCACATAAGGGCATTGCTACTTTTGGAGCGTTTTAATGGCACGAGTATCCATGATATACTCTACACACTCCTCTCTTCGGCTTACAACCCTACTCTTTAAGCTGGCTGCCTAATGATTGGCTGTATTTAAACTTTATTTGTATTTTTGAAAGGTATTTGTAGGTGTCTAATATTACTTATCTACATACATATCGTTCATTTACTAAAACAATAGCATAACTCGAGAACTGGATTTTCAGGAGATATGCTTAAAGTTTCCATTAACTCACGATTTCAGCATAAAATGTTTATAAAAGATGAAGCATGATGTAAGCAATAATTCAAACATTTTGGTTTTTTGAGTTATGACAGTCTTTTAGTAAATGAGCGATTTGTACATATGTATGCATTTTAGTATGCCTGGTTTTGATTGATTTTATTTAACTCGCTTTTGAATGATATGCTGCCGAGAGAGACCCAATCAGTTCTTATAAGTTTTCGCTCGCTGAATCTGAGACTTAAGGCTGAAAATCAGGAGTGGCCTCGTTTTTTTGCTAACCTCAAAAAAATTTTATAAATGATAATTTTGAGGTTCGAAAGAAAAAGAAGCGGCAAAACATTATTTAACCGCCTTCAAAACAAGGAGAAGGTTATCAATTCATCGGAATATTTTTTTGTGTGATTTTTTTATATGTATGTTACCGCATAACTTTGGACCATGTCGATCTTCTATCAGAAGGTAGTGTACCACAGGTAATCCCATACTAATTTGGTTTAGATCAGATAATTTTTATATGAGAGTTGAAGTCGGTAGTGCTTTTTCTTGAATATTACTTGTTGAGTCCTAAGTTGATGTTTCTGCGCAGAACTAAAAACTTGGAATTTTTGTTTTTAATCTCAAAACAACTTTCTATTGCGGTAAACTTATACTAAGGTTTTGGGTGTTGGAATAAACCAATTCTGATTTCAGTTACAGATGTGGAGACAGCGGTGTGGTTCGAAGTAATTTTATTGCTCATGCTTAACATATTCCGGGATCTATGTGGGCCGCAGTTTTTCTAATCAAGATATTGCGCGAACGCAGGTCCTACGGAATTGTAGTACGCACCTCTAACCACTCAGCCACAGTCCCGCTAGTTAATTATCGTTATATACCTATGACCTGAGCAATTTCGAAATGACCAGAAATTGAGAAAATTTGTGTCCTTAAGTCTTCTACATATTGCAAAATAACTGAGGAAGAGGACATCGTCTGAATTTCCGCCCGGTTGTCTGAGCAAAATGTTCA